AGCAGAGCTGACAGTTTTGTGAACCCTACTTAGGGGAGCAAATAAGGATGGGATACATTTCTGTGGCATGTGGGGCAGCCAGTGAGCAGGGCTGGTGAGGGTCATAAACAGCAGGGCTTAGACAGGGAGTGGAAGCAGCAGCGTGTTCAGGTGGCCTGGGAGGTGGGGGTCAGGTGGGATCACTGGGGCGGGGGGTGACAGCCAGGAAAGGATGAGGAGGTACAGCCCTTCACCTGGGCACTCAGAGAGGGCTCGGGTGTTGGCAGAAGTGGCTGCCCTGGCTTCCATCTCCTTTAGGTCTTAGCAGCTCTTCTGAGGGGGGCAATTTCAATCTCCTCTGAATCTTAAAATCTCTCCTCTTCCTGACCTTCACCAAAGACGCCTCTCACACTGGGTCAGGGTCACCCTCTCTGGAGGGAGAAGGGGGCCTGGCCAGACCCAAGTGCCCCAGAAGCTCACCAGCCCTGCCCTCTCTTGTCACTGCTGTCACCCTCTTAGATTTGTGCCCAGCTTAATCTCAGCTCCGTGGCAATTCCCCTCCAAATGAATCTCCCAGCCACGCCAGACCTTCCTGCTGGGAAAGGCCTCATATTATACAGTAGAAAAAGCACTGGATGTGCCAGCAAACTTCCCTCACTTGAATCCCTGCTCTGCCACTTACTGGATGCGTGGACCATAAATACTTTTTAAACTGTAAATGGGGGCTAATTGTGTTCCCCTTACCTATTTCACAGGGCCTTTTGGAGGATTCACAGGTATCACTTAACTCAAAAGCCCTTTGAAAGAAACAAAAAATCTAACCAGCTCTACACACAAATTTAACATTCCAGTAAACATTCTCTGTAACTGTCCATGTGTTTGAAATTGATGACCTTACTGACACAAACTTTGCAATAGAAAGTGTTATGCTAATAGGACAGTAAGAATCAGTTCCTGTATCATACACACATGAAAAAGTTGCCAGATGAATTTCCAGTAACATGGTTTAACTTCTGGTCTTGGTGAAATCCAGATTGTTCTGGAGAGGGGAAGATCATATATGCCCTTCATTCTCCGCTCCTCCAGAAGTGAGAAACTGTTTCTATATAAGACAGAGACACCCTCTCAAATTGATAAATTCCAAACAAGGAGCTGCAGTTAAGTGATGCAAAAACAAAGTTGCAAAGAGTAACGAGGTTAGCTGGTGACTGGCAGCACAGTGACTGGTGAAGAAACACTCGGCACAAAAACACAGTGCAGGTGCCCTGGGACAGCAAGCCCTTGAACTTGCAGGATCAATGCCAAACTTTGGCAGTGGATGGCTCCTGC